AGTGGGAGCTCCTCCTCGCATTTCGCTAGCCATTCGGTCAAGGGGGAGGCCTGAGTGTAGGGACCGCGCATCACCTCGCGTGTTACTTCCAGTGGGCCGGTGCATTCGTCCTCCAGGGAGTCCAGCAGGAGATGAGCCTGCGTGTAGCTGGCGAGGAAGCTGTAGCTTCCTTCCACGGACGGGTCCGTCAGTCCGAGGCCACCGAGCGATACGGGGAGGGAGGCCTGCGCCCATGTGCGTGATATTTCCTCCTCCCCCCGTGGGTGGTTAATGCCGCATGCCGTGAGCAGGGTATCCAACAGACGCCTCCCCCATTCGGACCACTCCCCTTGGGGCAGGGCCGGAAGGGGAGTCGTGCGGGCCAAGTAAGACACTCGGCGCGAGACGCACCGAGACAGCAGCAGACCCGCCAGCTGAGGCTCCATCCGCTCTATCAATCCCAGCGGCGCACCCATCGCTTCCAGGCTGGATCGTATGAAGGCGGATGTTGCTGTTGGGGTGCCGATGAAACTGCCCAGCACTTTCAACCCATCGCCGCTGAGTGGAACCCCCTCGGGCAGGGTGTAGTCCGCGGGCGACCCATCGGACCAGGCCCCGCACTTGGCGGGGTTGTGTCTGAGGCCGATTTCTGCAAGAAGGCCCGTGAAATGATCAAAAGCAGCCGCACATGACGACGGATCCCCTAAGAAGGTAACGTCATCCGCGTAAGCAAGACAGATGACATCCGGATGTGCCTCCGCCGCCGCCTTCAGAGCCGGTTGCATGGCCGCGGCAAAAAGAAGGGGGCCGAGGGGGTCCCCTTGGCGGACTCCGGTCTCGCTGAGCAAGGGCGCGTGGTTAAAGGCTGCGTCCAGGTGCAGTGCAGACGCCTGGCCGTAAGAGAAAATCACCAAAGGCAGTAGCGGCTCCAGCTGCGAGCCTTTCAGCGCTGTCGCTATGGCGAGGCGGTCGACGCTGTTGAAAGCGTTAGCTAGATCCGCCTGCAAGACTAGCGCCTCCGGATTGGCCGAGGTGAAGGTTCGAACGATGTGGATCACTGCCTCTGCTCCTCCCGGCACGGCAACCCCAAACTGTAATGGTAAGAAAAATTCTCTGGCCGCTTCTGCTAGCTGAGTAAGTGCTGCTTTGGCTGCCAGTCGTAGGATGCATTCACCTATTGCTATTGGCCTGGTCCCTCCGTCTGGCTTGTCAAGGGCTATCAACCTTGATGCGGTAAGAAGCCCCCCAACCTCCTTGCGCAGCTTCCCGCGAAGGATCGTGTTGACAAGCGCATGTAAGTGTGAACTGACCGCAGAATGCATCAGTGCAGCTTCGCGCAGGTGTTCGAACGTCGTGCCTGAAGGGCCTGCGCCGACCCCGTTCTCACACTTTGTGAGAAGTTTCAAGAATGCTTCTCGCGACACTGCCAGGTAAGTGTCCGGCTCAGGCTGGGGCCACGGTGCGTCAGGATGCCTTCCACGCGGGTGCTTGGCGCATAGAGATTCCAGAACTTCTGGGGTCGGCTTGCTGACTGGAGTGGCTTCAAGTGCCATGACAGCCCTTCGCAGGCTGCCACGACGCGCCAGACCTTCTGCCCTGGAGATAGCTCCCAGGTCATCTGGTTGGTGTCTGGGGGGTGGGGGCAGCTCCAGCGAATCCACTGTTTCCTGGTAAAGTGAATCCCACTCCCCTCGCAGGAATTTACGCAATCTGCTTCTGGTCGCCTTCCAATCAGGGTGCTTCGGCGACTGCTGACGCAATGTCAGGCGAGCGGCAAACAGCAAAACCGTCCAGGCTTGGGTGGAATCAGGGTCGTCGGCGAGTCTCAGCAGTGGTGTCAGTAAGACCATTGCGAAAAGCAGGCGCAGTTTTTCCGGGAGGCGACGTGCCAGAGGTGCGTTGCGACTGTCGCGTAGCATGTCCAGATTCCAGTCACTGACGCTCGCGAAAAGTGTGTCATCCTTGGCGAGGGTCTCTGGCGATTTTTGGGGGAGGGGTTGAGACTGCTGTTGGTTACCCCTCGCTGCAGTTCGCGGTGCAATTACAGGTGTTGGTGGCGGGATTTGTTGGGCGGGCTGGTTGGCAGTGGTGTCAGGGTTGTTGGGAGCAGTTTCAATTGGTGGGGATGGTCGCGGTTGGGTGGGCGCGTGATTGAAATTTGTTGCCGCGCTTCGGGCGTGGGTTGAGTTGCCTCTCTGCCGTGCTGGGGTCTGTGACTGGGCCTCTTCCGAGGCATTCGAAGATGAGTCTGATTCCTCCTCCTCCGCCTCATAAATACTCCCCGACAAAGCATCTGCTTCATTAGCTCTTCCCAACTCAGTTAAAGCCCTTCGCGCCGCCGCCTGGAACGCGTTCTCCGGTCCGCCCTCTCGCGTACTCCGTCCATGCCCGCGACCTCCGGCACGACCTCCGCGCATCCGCGCATTGGCCGCGGCCAGCTGTGGACTCCCTCGACTCGCTTCTCCCGCGCTCTGGCGCGACCTTGCGTCCTCGATCGCCTGCTGCCGACGCGTTCGCCGTATTGGCGACTGAAGCGGAGAGGTCAGCGGTGGACCAAGGTCACACCGCTGAGAGTGCGATTGCTCCGCCTCCGGCCCCTGCTGCCGCTGTTGCTGTTGCTGCTGCTCCCCTGCTCCCCCCGGCTCCCCCTGCTGTTGTTGCGACGTCCGCGGTTCCGCACCCGCTGTCTCCGGCTCCCCCGCCAAGCCTTCCGCACGCTGTCCCCGTGTCCGGCGCGCCGGTTCCCGTTGCGCAGCCGTCGCATGTGGCGCAGCCGCCCGCCCAAGCTGTCGCTGGGGGCCCTGCGCAGGGGACAGCGGTGGGCGCCGGCCCCGATTCTGCCCACTTGGTTGCCCCTTCTGCTGCGCCGGTGAATCCCGTCGCGCAGCGGCTCGCGGAGTCCCAGATACGCGCTGCCGTGGGGGGCAATGCGGCAGCGCATCGGGGGCGAGGTTCTCCTCGGCGTCGTCCCTCCTCGTCATATCGTTCGGCGCACCGCGGAGGTCGCGGTGGCTGGTGGGGAGGTCACGGTCGCGGGCGCGGTGGGCCGAGCGAGATGCAGCAGCTGCGCGAGGATCTCCCGGGGATGCTGGCTGCGGCGATGCGCAACGCTCTCTCTCTCTCTCTCTCTCTCTCTCTCTCTCTCTCTCTCTCTCTCTCTCTCTCTCTCTCTCTCTCTCTCTCAAGCGGTCCGTGTATTAGATCCAAGCAAATACAGACATGCAAAGGATAGAGATGCTACTCATACAAATCATCTTCTAACCCACACATCCCACTCACCCCCCTCCCCCTCTGCTCCGTCTAAGGGAGCTCCAGCACCGGCTCTAAGATGGCCAGGCAGTCCCCAAGGGACATGCCCTCGCCTGGCATCTCCGCAGGTGGGTTCTCCACCTGTGCCGCGTAGTTGCATTTCTCCATAAAGCTCACCGACTGAGCACGCTGCAGCGCCACGGACCACCTCTGGCGGAACTGGTGCAGCAGCTTCGTAGCCTGGTAGGATGAGGGGGCCGCGTTGAAGAGCCTGCGGGCGGCGGTCTCGGCTAACAGCTTGAAGAATTGGGGCACTTCCTCGCAAGGGCAGCCGTAGGTGTCAACGGCGAGTGGGAAGAATCCGACCCACGAAGCCGTTGAGCCTTCGTAGTCGGAGATCTTCTTCTCCGCCGCTTCACGGGCTGCCCACCCCCTGCCCTTGACTGCGTTGGGGTCACGGGTGCTGATGGGGTCCGTGATTGTCACGTCCCCAATCCAAACCCTCTCTCTCTCTCTCTCTCTCTCTCTCTCTCTCTCCCTCTCTCTCTCTCTCTCTCTCTCTCTCTCTCTCTCTCTCTCTCTCTCTCTCTCTCTCTCAAGCGGTCCGTGTATTAGATCCGAGCAAGGTACAGACATGCACAAGGATATAAGAAGCAATGCATCTCAGCTTCTAAAACCCCCACATCCTACCTACCCTCCCACATCTCCTTCGCCCGGCAGCGCCACAGGTGGGTTCTCCACCTGAGCCGCGTAGTTGCACTTCGTCATGAAGCTCACTGACTGCGCCCGCTGCAGCGCCACGGACCACCGCTTGCGGAACTGGTGCAGCAGCTTTGTTGCCTGGTAAGATGAGGGGGCCGCGTTGAAGAGCCGGCGCGCGCCGGTGTCGGCCAGAAGTTTGAGGAATTGAGGGACCTCCGCGCAAGGACAGCCATAGGTATCAACGGCAAGGGGGAAGAACCCGACCCACGAGGCCGTTGAGCCCTCGTAGTCGGAGATCTTCTTCTCCGCCGCCTCCCTGGCCGCCCATCCCCTGCCCTTGACCGCGTTGGGATCCCGTGTGCTGATGGGGTCCGTGATGGTCACGTCCCCTATCCACACCGCTCCTGAGGACTTGTCCCGGATCGCAATGTCGGCTTTCTTCAGAGTGACGGGGCAGAACGTAGTCGTTTCGCTGTGAGTCATGAAGTCAGCGTCGGCGGCCATGTGTACACACGCATCGCGCAGCTCATTGTGCGTGTTGGTCCGCCCCTTCCCCGTGTCGCAGTGCAGCAGGTGGTTGGGCAGGCGCCTGTCAAGGATTGCCGTCTTATTGCGGCAGTCACACGCGCCAGGTGCCGAGGAGGGTAACCCCATCCTGAACTGCAGCGCATGCGCAAAGTGAGCCGGGGCAAGCCGTAGTGTCCGCCGCGTAACGCGGGTCTCTCTCTCTCTCTCTCTCTCTCTCTCTCTCTCTCTCTCTCTCTCTCTCTCTCTCTCTCTCTCTCTCTCCCCATAACGCGTATAAATACACGCACGCACCTCGCAGTGCACGAGCACGCAGATGAGGTTCCCCATGGTGCCGGGCGGCACGAACAGCCCCGCCTCCTTCCCCATCATCTGCGCCACCTGCCTCAGTGCCGTGTTCACTGCTCCTCAGTTGGGTGTTCACGGTAAGAAGAAAGGGCTCCACGCACCTCGCAGTACACCGTAACGCATATAACGCGTATAGAGGCCCACACGCACCTCGTAGTGAACCATAACGCGTATAACGCGTAGAGGGCTGCACATACCTCGCAGTGCACGAGCACGCAGATGAGGTTCCCCATGGTCCCCGACGGCACGAACAGCCCCGCCTCCTTCCCCATCATCTGCGCCACCTGCCTCTGGAGCCTGTCCACCGTCGGATCTATCCCGATGACGTCATCGTCCACCTCAGCGTTCTTCATCGCTTCCCGCATCGCGCCGGTGGGTTTGGTCACCGTGTCGGACCGCAGGTCCACCACCCGTCGCGCCGCGGCTTTAGAGAGCTCCGCGACTTCCGCCGTCGAACCCGCTCCCGCCTGCGCAAGCGCCCCCGCTTCCGCTGCGCCGCCCACGGACATCCCCCCGCCGGCGCCGTGCGGATGATCTCCGCCGCCTGCGCTCATGGGGGGCCCAAGCGCGGGCGGCGGAGCGGCTGCTCCCCCGGTGGCCCGATTGGCGGAATGTGGTCCGCCGGGTGCTGACGTGGACTGCATCTGGAAGCTTCTGCGACGCTACCTAGCCTCTTCTCTCCTACAGCTACTGGCGTCGCTGAGGGTAGTAACAAGGTACGGAACGAAGCAGTTTATGCGCTTCACCCTAATCTGCTATTGTGCGATGTAATGTGGCGTCCCGCTACCGGCGTTGCTGAGGGCGAAGTGTACGGACAGAGGCAGTCTGTACGCCTCGGGTAGGAAAAGGGGCAATCTCCACGTTTCAGCGTTAGCCTCTATTGTGCGATGCGAAGTAATGCGGCGTGAACGGCGGCCCCTATTCAGACCTGACTAGGGAAGTCGAAGTGAACTAGCCTCCGACCGCATTAAACCGCTTCTCATATAGATGGAACTCCGCATACCGCATTTGCTTTACAATGAAAGTGTAAATGAAATGCTTCACATTGAATGTACCAGTAGTAAAAAAAGCATCAGCTGATACATATGGGCCCATAGATATTCTGTCTCAACAGAATACCCTTTCACAACTAATGCCAAATATCAGAAAGTTTAATTCCATTCTGTTCAAATCCAATCCAAACATTCATTGGCAACCGAAGCATCAACCCCCTTGTGATCCACTCTCTCCCTCCAAAGAAAAATCCTAATTCTCAGGTGGAACAACCTGGGAGCCTGCTGCACCCTCCCCTGGTGCATTTTTCTCCGGCAGAGGGACAATAACAGCTGGCAGTTTCAACAGTGCCTGCTCCTCTCCTACTGTAGCCTCCTGCTCCGAACCGACAGTTGAATCAACTCCCAGAAGGTAGGGACCACGGTCATTTGGAATAGGAACAAGGGCACTGGATTCAGCACCATCAGGCATGGGTGCAACACCCTGGGGTCCTGCTGCTGGCGCCTCCCCAGGTGCTGCTTCTTCTGGCAGAGCAACGTAAATCTCTGGCACAAGCACATCCTCATTGCCTGCTGAGCCCACAGCTGGAATGGCAGCATCAGTCCCCAGAAAGTAGGGACCATGGTCATTCGGCACCTGATCGTCATTCGGCACCTGATGGTCACCTTTAACCTTTGCCTGCCTCAACCAGGCACTTGGAACAGGACCAGAACCACCGGAATCAGCACCATCAGGCATGGGTGCAACACCCTGGGATCCTGCTGCTGGTGCCTCCCCAGGTGCTGCTTCTTCTGGCAGAGCAACGTAAATCTCTGGCACAAGCACATCCCCATTGCCTGCTGGAGCCTCCCCAGGTGCTGCTTCCTCCAGCTGAGGGACAAGAACGGCTGGCAACAGTTCATTCTCATTGCCTGCTGGAGCCTCCTCCTCTGAACCCATAGCTGGAATGGCAGCATCAGTCCCCAGAAGGTAGGGACCATGGTCATTCGGCACCTGATCGTCATTTGCCACCTGATGGTCACCTTTAACCTTTGCCTGCCTCAACCAGGCGGTTGGAACAGGACCAGAACCACTGGAGTCAGCAGCATCAGGCGTGGGTGCAACACCCTGTGACCCTGCTGGAGCCTCCGCAGGCACTGCTTCTTCTGGCAGAGCGACGTAGATCTCCGGCACAAGCACATCCTCATTCCCCGCTGGAGCCTCCTCCTCTGATCCCACAGCTGGCATGGGATCGGTCTCCAGGAGGAAGGGACCATGATCGTTAGGCTGAGGATCGTTGGGCATCTGAGGGTGGTTGGGCAACTGTGCTGGCCTCAACCAGGAGGTTGGAAGTGGAGCGGCAGCAGCAGCGCTGGAATCAACTCCATCCGGCTCATTGCCTGCCTCCTCCTCATCTCCATTCACAACAGACACAACAACCAGGGGGTCGATGGACGGCTCAGATGTCACAGCAACGGGGCCATCTGACGGCTCAGATCCGACGGCAGTTTGGACAGGAGGCGGATGCTCAGCTGCTGGGACAGGGAAGAACTGGTCAGATGCTGAGGATTGAAGCGCATTGTGTGCGGAGGTTGGTCCGTTCGGGTTGACCAGATTCGCCTTCAACATCCGTGCTGCCTCTGCTGGTGCACACGCCATCATGCCGAACGCCAGCAGCAGTGACAGAAACAGAAACGGAAGGAAAGACTTTTCGAGCCTCCTCAGAGACGCAGTGCAAGAACCCATGATTGCTGTTGAAGATGGCTACAAATAGGTGCCTCTCAAGTGGTCCTGTGTTATCGGGGAGAGTTGCTGGCAACTGGAATGCTTCGGGGTTGTGTTTGTTGAGCTGGCCGACGAATGAGACGGACGGTTAGCTTTATGGGACATGGAATGACGTTACTTTCTTTTCTGATTTCGAACCGCACGCGGCACGTTCGGCGAGACTGAGACAGTCTCGAATCGCCTTGGATACTCGCACCGACACGATGCGACAGGCCGACATTGCAATGAATGACTGGTCAACCGCGTGTTGCGGAAGGCTGACTTGCTGATCGCACGAAGGATCACTCCAACCCGACAGACAGCATTACCGTGGCGCTTCGGTTCATCAACCTAATTTCCTGGTCGACGCAGCAGCGTTACACTCTCGCTAACACAGGCTGTACGGAAAAAGCGTACTCAACGGGATCGATCATTGACTGCTCGATGATGTTGGGGTCTCGACAGCCTGGTCCACAACTAGGTGAATCTCCCCAGCAGAGTATTTTCGAACTCGAATTCATCAGGTAACACATTGAGAGGACCGTTATCGCCTGGCGCTGCTTGCCTGCGAGCCTGGCCACGCGGTAGAGCCACGCAGCTCGACCAATCGCCAGGCCGGAAGTGGTGGTGATAAGATCACAGGAGCTGGACCGAGAGTGTACGAGGTTCTGTAGGCAAGTCGATAGCCAGTGGAGGGTGGAAGTGAGGAGGGAAATAAGGAGGGTCGTACATAGGAGTACAGTGTAGCGCGCTGTTCCCAACGGATAGGAGGGATGAGGTTGACGGTGCGGAAGGTGAGGAGGAGGTCCACGGAACCACCGCAGAAACACGGTGAATCGTATTGTTCGATACTGGGGGCTTCAGCTAGGGATAATAATTTCATCATAGCATGAATGCCATCTACACTACCTTGACATGCAGTAGGAAGAAGTTGAGAGGGAGTGTGGTGCACCTTCCAACAATATGTTAAAAAATACTTAAAGCTCTAGAACAATCTCAAAATAATCATTACACCGCATGACAGCATGAAAACATGAGATAGACAAATAGATGCTGCCATTTGCACGAGTGCTTGCATTATTATCCCAACAGCAACTCATATGATCCAGCCGTCATTGCCTGGGGGCGGGAGCTCGGCGCGCTTCTGCACTGCAGGTGCAGCGAGGGCTCTATCCATATCGAATCGGACTTCTAGTGTGCGAAGACTGTAGCCCACCACCATTAACCAATAGAGCAGCTTCGCCAGCTCGGTCACTGTAGTCTCTGATGCCACGGACTGGGAGTAGGTTTTACAGGGAGATTGTGAGAAATGGGAAGGGACATACGTAGGTAACTTTAAAGGACAACACGGATATGAACACAAAAACGCACAAGTGATACTCGCCAGCTCGGTCACTCTAGTCTCGGACGCTGAACCACACACATGCGCAAGGGCACACCATACGCAAGCACACACGCATACAGCGTGCAACCACACACATTATCACACCACACGCATTGTCACACCACACGCATTGTCACACCACACGCATTGTCACACCACACGCATTGTCACACCACACATTCACACAAAAAAATATCCATTCGTGCCTTACCAACACACCTCCTTCACCGTCGTCCCCCCGGTTGTCAACCTCACCTCCACCCTTCTCACATCTCCCCCCTTAGAATCTTGATCTCTCCCTTTCTTACCTTGCTCTCTCCCCTTCCCTATATCATCTACCCATCCCTCTCATCATGATCCCCACAACATCAGGAGCGGCTGGCAGATTTAAATCAATGCATCCATGCCGGGCCTATTTCTCCCACCCTCCCCCACACCTCTCCCAACCTGGCGCCTTCCCATCTCAACCTAATCTCGCCCCCCCTCACCTTGATCTCCCCAACATCAGGAACGCCTAACAGCCGTTGGATGAACGCATTCATGGCTGCCAGCGCATCGTCATCAGCACTGGCTGTCAGCTCCTGTGGGGGGCGGAGGAGGATGAGCGGAGTGGTAGGAGGGGTGGGGTGATGTGTGTGGGGTGAAGTGAGTGGGGCAGAAAAGAAAACTGGCTGCTAGAGCATCGTCATCTGCACTGGCTGTCAGCTCCTGTGAGAGGCGGAAGAGAAGGGAAGGGGAGAGAGGAGGGGGGGAAGGCGGGCGGGAATGTGTGGGTGCGAAGGGAAGGGGACAAAAGAAACTGCCTGCCAGAGCATCGTCATCTGCACTGGCTGTCAGCTCCTGCGAAGGGGGGGAAGATGCGGGAGGGGGAGGAGGAGAGGAAGGGGGAGGTGAAGATGGGTGGGAAAGGGTGGTTTGGCTAACTGTCAGAGCATTGTCATCCGCACCTGTTGTAACTCTTGAGTCGACTCAAAAGAGCATTGTCATCCGCACCTGTTGTAACTCTTGACTTTTGAGTCGACTCAAAAGAGCATTGTCATCCGCACCTGTTGTAACTCTTGACTTTTGAGTCGACTCAAAAGAGCATTGTCATCCGCACCTGCTGTAACTCTTCACTGCTCCCCGCTCCCTCCTCTCTGCTCCCTTTTCTCTGTCCTCTGCTCTCTTCTTTCTGTTCCCTGCTCTTCGCTCTCTGCTCTCTGCTCACCTGTATATTCTGTGGCTCCAGTCCCTTCAAATACTCCAGCAGCGCATTTCCACTGCCTCCTCCCTCACCCACTCGTGCCAATCTCGCCTCCTCCTCCTCCAGCCGCCCTACTAATGCCCGAACCTCCCCTTCTGGAAGCTCCACATAGTCTACCGGCGGCACCCGAACCACCTAGCTACATTGCACCTCTCTTCTCCACGTTCGGTGTTTTCTGCCCCGCGCTCTTTGTTCTTAGCTATCTGCCTGCTCTCTGCTCACCTGTATATTCTGCGGCTCCAGTCCCTTCAAATACTCCAGCAGCGCATTCCCACTGCCTCCTCCCCCGCCCCCCACTCGTGCCAGTCTCGCCTCCTCCTCCTCCAATCTTCTCTTTAATGCCCGAACCTCCCCCTCTAGAAGCTCCACATAGTCCATTGCCGGCACCCGAACCACCCGCTCAGCCTCAGCATCCCACCGAAGCACCTCGCCTGCCACGTGCGTCTTCTGGACCGGGCCCAGAGGTAAGGCGCTGTCAGTGGGCGGCTGGGGGAGAGGGGATAAAACGAGGGAGGGAGGGATGTGAACGGAGTGAAGAGGAAGCGAAAGTTCTAGGACCAATCGGTTTTTGAGGGAGAAAAACGGGGGAGGGAGAGCGGAAAGAAGAATGAACGGGACGAAGCGCCACCCTCTTTGACATGCCTGCCTGCTAAAGCAATGGAGCACCTATGCCCATCCATGCGCTCATGCTCCCATGCCCATCCATGCGCTCATGCTCCCATGAACATGCAAATTCCCATGCAAAGGCACACAACTAGCAAAGCAGCTTACCCACGGGGACACCGATCCAGAGTCAGAGTCACTGCCGCTGGTGCTGCTGTTACTGCTGGTCCCACTCTGTCTGTCTGAAGACATAAAGGCTGACGATGCTGGTAGTGGTTGAGGCGACGAGGAGGAAGAGGAGGAGGAGGAGGAGGAGGAGGAGGAGGAGGAGGAAGGGATGTGAGGAGGGAAGGATGACGGGAGGGAGGTAGGAGAGGAGGAGGGGGAGGAGGAGGAGGCAGCGGGGAGGGCAACGGCACCAGCAAAGGAGGAGGAGAGTTCGAGGCGGTACTGTGCGTTGCGGAACATGTAACCTGTCATCATCACGCTGAACATGAGCTGCGCAAGATTCTCCCCCACCTGCCAGGTTGAGTTGAGATTGAAACAAACTGCATTAGGACCCAACAGGAACATGTAACCGGTCCCCATCACACAGAACACCAGCTGAGCCAGGTTCTCTTCTCCCCCACCTGCCGTGCATAGTTGGGGACACAAATAAGGCCCAATTTCACACCTCAACCTGCCCATGCATTACGGAACATGTAACCCGTCATCATCACACTGAACATTCGCTGAGCCAGGTTCTCCCCCACCTGCCGTGTATTGGGGAGATAATGTGAAGAGGCGATTTTTGAGTCGACTCAAAAATCGCCAGGTTCTCCCCCACCTGCCATGTATTGGGGAGATAATGTGGAGATGTTTTTGTGAGGGTAAGAGATGAAAGAACTGGTGGCAATGGGCATTACAACACGAACATCTTGCCAAGTAACCATTCCCCGCCCCCCCCCACCACCACCCCCCACCGCACCGTACCGTTGTGACGGTGACTTCGAAATACTGCGGCGGCAGCGACCCCAGCATGTTGCTCACAGTCTGTCTCATTGCATCCACCAACTGGCGTGACCGGAAGGAAGAGAAGGAGGGAGAGAGGAGAAAGGGAAGGAGGGAAGGAGGGAGAAAGGCGAGTTGGTCAGCAACGCTTGCTCACAGCATGTTGCTCACGGTCTGTCTCATCGCATCCACCAACTGTCGTGTGTGGAAAGACGGGGGAGGCGGGAGGAAGGGAAGGGACAAGGATGGAGGCAGGCAGGAGGAAAGAACGAAGGCAGGATGGTTGAGCAGCGACCTCAGCATGTTGCTCACAGTCTGTCTCATCGCATCCACCAACTGGCGTGAGGGGAAGGAAAGAAGCAGGGAAGAAGGGTAGGGACAAGGATGGAGGCAGCCAGGAGGAAAGAACGAAGGCAGGATGGTTGAGAGCTATCACCCCAGCATGTTGCTCACAGCCTGTCTCATTGCATCCACCAACTGTCGTGAGGGGAAGGAAAGGAGGCCGGAAGGGAAGGGGAGGAGAGGGAAGAAAGGACGCAGTTGGAAGGTAAGAACTCCATGAATTTATGAAGTCCGGCTGCACGCCCCTCACATACTCACATACTAGAACAATCACATGCCCATCCAGTGCCCATATGCCCACATACCCCTCCCCTCACCTGCGGCTCTGCGTGCTGGAAGAATTTCTCCATGAAGTCCGGCTGCACGCCCCTCACATACTCCGACATACTAGTCACATGCCCACATGCCCACATGCCCACATGCCCACATGCCCACATGCCCACATGCCCACATGCCCACACACTCATCTCCTCACCTGCGGCTCAGCATGCTGGAAGAATTTCTCCATGAAGTCCGGCTGCACGCCCCTCACATACTCCACCAGCAGCTGCCTCCGCGTCTGCCCTTGCATTGGCGAGGTGGGGCCTGATTGCTGCGGTAAGCAATGGAGGGAGAGAGCAGGGTGCAGGATAGTCAATGACACACGGTACAGTACGGTATGGTGTGGTGCAAGTGGTGGCACAGGCTGCACGCCCCTCACATACTCCACCAGCAGCTGCCTCCGCGTCTGCCCTCCCATGGGGGAGGTGGGGCTTGGCTGCTGCAGCAAGCAAGAAGGAGAAGGGTGCACAATGGTACAGTATGGTACGGTAAAGTTACAGTATGGTATGGTAAGCGTGGCAGGCACGCATAGGCTACACGCCCCTCACATACTCCACCAGCAGCTGCCTCCGTGTCTGCCCTCCAATGGGCGAGGTGGGGCCTGGCTGCTGCAGCAAGGAAGAGAGGGACGGAGGGAGGTATCAGGGTGGACAATGGTACAGACGGTATGGTACGGTGCAAGGGGTAGCATGCAAAGGCTGCACGCCCCTCACATACTCCACCGGCAGGTTGCTGCCGCTGATTGCCGTTCCAAGGGTGAGGTTGGGCCTGGTTACTGCTCGTAACCGCCCCTTTCAAATCCTTCTGCTAGTCGCATGTCTCCACACACGCACCCCCAACCCACCTAGTGACCTAACAACTCACGTCATCCAGGCCTGCTCGTAACCGCGCCACGCGAGTCCTTTTCCCGTCGCCATTCCATCTCCCGGAGGCCTCTTGGCCACTCCTGAGTCGCCACGTGTTTCCCTTCCAGCCGCTACACCGAACCCGAGCTCCCTGACCGTGTCTAGCGAGCCGCGAAGCACTTTCGCGCGCCTCGGAAAACGCAGCAGAAGAAACCGTGCGCCACGTCAGCTGACACGTGCCAGCGGCGAATGCGGCGGACATGATCTACCGCGGAGGGAGACGCGAGTCGGGTGTTGTCTGCAAGATGGAACTTTTGACTTCAGTTGACTCAATGACTAGGCTCGTATGAATGTCGTACCAAGGTCGTACCAAGGTCAGTATCGGTGTCGCCAAGACGTTCACTAGTGCTGCTTTAACAAAGGCATGTGCTCCCAAGACCTAGTAATACTATTAGACTCGTACGCGGTGAAGGCTTATGCTGCGAGCGGTGCTTCCTCGGGAGACCTTGAGAACAACGCTACGTCGGAGCCGATGCCGCGCGGTGCACGTGGCGAAACAGAATAACTCGTTGCTGTTTTTTACGACTGCTTATTTGAGCAGCGTGTAGGTATGTGCCAAAGGAGTAAAGGGAAAGCACGGAAGGTGCAAGTGCATGAAAGTTGTTACAACCCTGTAAGACATATGAGTAAGCATGTGTTACAGATATCTCAAACAGGGTTTGTTCATATCGCATCACCGAACCAAACATTGCTTCACACATGCATCACCTCTAACCCATCGCATGCATTTGCGTTTGCGAAGCTTTCTCGAATCTCGTCAACCTCGTGAATTAGGAGGTTACGATACAAACCATGTGGTTCTCGAGATTCGCGCTGGTAAACAGTAGTCTCCGCTTTCTGAGCGCTTGTTACCGCAACAGACCGATTAATACCGTGGTATTTGTAAACTTGAAGCTTGAAACCACACTGACTGACAAGAACCCATTACCTACCAATTGCCACACTTGCCATGTGGTTAGCTCACTCTTACAGGGTTCACCAGCCAGCTCGAGACGCTGTGCCTTCATTAAGAAATTAGTGGATTTTCTCCTACTTCAAGTTCCATTATCACATCAGGTGCTTCGTTCCTTCAGGCTGCGGTCGGCTAGGCTGTCGTTTGACAGGCGTAAAGGTGACGAGACGAGCTGTTGTTCCGAATCCTGATGCTCACACATCGACGCATTTTATGGAAAGCACGCGCTGAATTCTCGGACGGCCAATGCCTGGCCACCTCGTACGATTAGTGTTCACAAGTTGACTGTAAACCAACTTGTGTTATTTCTTTGACAGGCAGAAGTTTCCTTGTCTTTCGCCACGTCATCCACAATGGCGACCCTGCCGCGGTTCGACTTCGGCTTCGCCTTCCGAGAACCTTCCTTTTCTGACTGCGTCCTTCGCCTTGTGATCGAGCCACATTCAACAGGTACGAGGGTGCCTCTAGGTGTATTTTCCGCTGATTTTAATTCGTCCCAACGTCGAGGTGTACCTTCACTGATTCTATTCGTCTTCACATTTTGAGGAGAAAAGGAGATGTCTCAAGCCTCAGGAATTGACTTGTGGCTCAGCCACTCTCCGCAATAAAGCGTGTCTCTAAGCATGTATCTTTACTTACGGATTTGCGTCATTTGTTCCCATGTGATGCCCTCGTGATCTCTCTTCCAGGATTGCATGACATTTCACCTGCAACGGGCTCAGCAAGTTCTGCCAAGGACAGAGAGGAAAACGATAGCTTAGCAGCAGCAGCAGCAGCAACAAAAGTATCCGAGCCTCTCCAAAAATCAACGCGTGCTGCTGCAGCTGCTGCTCCTGCCACTGCCGGCGCCGCTGACCCTCCCGCTGCCGGTGCCTCTCCTCCAGAAACATCTACTGCTGATGCTGCTTCGCAAGCGTCACTCCCCCCTGCTGACCCGGTGACTCGGGACGTGCCAGCAGCGTCGGTGGTTCTGGCGTCCAAGTCCACCTTCTTCCGCGCTCTCTTCACCAGCGGGTTCAGTGAGACTCTCGACCGCCGGCTCGTGCACATCCACCTGACCGCTCAAGGTATGTCTGAGGTGTGGGGGTGCACCTGCCGCTGCTTCGCGAGCATCAGCCTCCCATTCCGAGCCATTGACACGGGACGTGCCAGCAGCGTCGGTGGTTCTGGCGTCCAAGTCGACCTTCTTCTGCGCTCTCTTCACCAGCGAGTTCAGTGAGACGCTGGATCGACGGCTCGTGTACATCCACCTGTCTGCTCAAGGTATGGATGGATGGATGGCGTGGTACAGCGTGGTATGGTGTGGCATGGTGTGGTGTGGTGTGGTGTGGTGTGGTGTGGTGTGGTGTGGTGTGGTGTGGCGTGGTTTGGTTTGGTTTGGTTTGGTGTGGTGTGGTGTGGCGTGGCGTGCTGACACCAATACCGATTTTACGACTTACAAGTCAATGTATGCTGCTGGTGTCAGCACGAAAAAAGGGAGTCCAAACCAGCATTCAGGTCGGTGCCTGGCTAAGTTGGAATATACGCTACTTAGCTTTTGCGTTTTGCATTTATACGCTTAACGAATTCGTACGCTGCGTATAATTTGAATTCGCCGAGTAGAATTTCGGGCAGACCGAAAAAAAATAAAAATAAAATCAATATGAATCTCGCGACGTGGCGATCTCTATTTCGAGTCGCAGATGTTGCGAACTGAACTCGAATTTTGAATTTTGAGCTCCAAACCTCCTCAACCCCACCCCTCCACTGTTTCACACCCCTTTAAACCACAGCATTCCACCACTCCCTTCAACCACTACTTTATTGGTTGGGAGCTCAACCCAACCCAATCTCCCAGGCATAAAGAGTGGCATTTGTTCACTCGACATTCATTCTCTCGCTACCTCTTCTAGCTACCTCTTCTCCCCAGCCACCATGGCTGCTACTCCTACAGAAACAAGTTCTCGTTCTACACCTTCAGAGGCTCCTGGTAGTTCCACTGGAGGGACCTCTTCTGTTACGTCTTTGGTTTGCATGGACAGCAAGCACGCTGTGTAGTGCCACTTCAAAGTGCCGGCCGACAGCATTGGCGAGAACGACACCAAGGTGTGTGCCTACTGCAACTTCAATTTCGCTGGCGGGGTTTACCGCTGCGCGCAGCATATCACCGGCTGGAACGGCATGCGCCGTCGCGAAGTGCATCTCTGCACTGCAGCGCCGAAGACTGCACGTGACACCGTGAAGGCGCTTTACGAGTCCAAGTTGAAGGCCCGTGAAGAGAAGCGTGCGGCTGAAATTGCGGCGGTCGGCGCAGTCAACGGCGGAGGTTCGGACAAGAAGAAGAGTCGAATGTCCGACTTCTACGGCGACGACGCCGCGCGCGCGAACCAAGCTGCGGACGAGTCCATATGCCTCTTCTTCGCCGCTCTTCATCTGCCGGAGCATCACGCGGACCTACCCACTGTGGCGGAATGTAGTCTCAAGCATCCAGCGCGTGGAGCAGAATTACATCCCGTCGAAGAGACGCTACATCGGTGGCGCCGGTCTTGCAAAGTGTCGCCAGCGCATTGAGCCGGCTCTCGCTCCTATCTCAGCAAGCTGGCGCCGTGATGGTGTCACCGTGGCAAGCGACATGTTCTCTGACAAGGCCGGCCGCCCGCAAGCCAATGTGCTCCTCATCAACGATAGCGGAGCGGTGTTCGTGGAGTCGATCGACACCAAGATGGAGATGAAGACCGGCGGCTACATCGCGGGCATCTTGCGCCCCATCATCGAGAAAGTTGGCCCCGAGAACGTCGTTGTCTTGTGTTTTGACGGCGGCTCCAATTACGCGGCGGCATGCAGGGAGTTAATGACGGAGTATCCCCACATCGAACACATCCCTTGCGCGACCCATGTCCTTGATCTCCTGATGGAGGACATCGGGAAAATGGGATGGGCGAACGCGTGGGGACACCCTCATCTCGTTCGTCCGCAACCATCACTTCACCCGAGGATACATGCGGAGCGAGCTCGTGAACGGCGGCAAGGGGAAGCAGGTTCTCAAGCCCGCGGGAACCCGATTCGGCACCAACTACATCGCCATTAACCGCCTCTGTGAAGTGCGCGCCGGCCTGACGCAGATGGTCCTCAGCGATGAGTGGCGCGAGTGGACAACGGCTGCAAAGAGGGTTGGGGCAGATACATTCAAAGACAACATCCTCGATGCCACGTGGTGGACGCGCGCCGAGTTCTTCGCGAAGCTGATGAAGCTCCTGTTCGTCGTCATGCGCAAGACTGACTTGGATGCGAAGGGCATGATGGGTTGTCTCTACGACCTTATGCTCCAGCTCACCGAGGACATCCGCGACTTCCTTGACGAGCATGCGGAAGGGGTCTTGTCAAGGGGAGAGGTGGGGGAGATCGCTGGGACAATGGGCTGGCGTGCAACATGCACGTGGTTGGCCGCATCCTCAACCCGACCAACCAGGAAGAGGGCATCTTCCGCACCGACCTGGAGTGCACGAGGGTCTTCAAACAGTACGTGTCCAAGCACTACGACGACCAGTCGGTCACCAGGAAGGACGGGGTCGAGCGCCGCACCTCTCTCGTCATCCAGGAAGGCCTCAATGCCTTCCTCAACCTCCAAGGCAGCTTCGGCATGCCCGCCGCTCTTGCCGACCGTGAGGCAGTGAAGGAGGGCAAGATGACCGCGGTGGCCTGGTGGTCATGGCACGGGACCGAACATCCGGAGCTCACCACCATGGCTTGCCGCGCCCTCACGCAGCCGGTGTCCGCGTCACCATGCGAGCGGAACTGGGCGAAGTTTGATGCCGTGCATACGGCACGCCGGAACCGGCTCGGCGCGGAGAAGCTTCGGGACCTCGTGTACGTGACGCACAATTGGCAGGTTGTGCATAACTGGCACAAGGTCCCTGAAGGGCAGCGGGTGGTGAAGGGAAACATCGAGGACCCCCCCACTCCGCCTGGCTACAACGTCGAGGAGGAGGTGGAAGAACCTGAGGTGGGGGAGGATGATGTGATGGCCGATGAGTACTAGGGGAAGGCTCCATGCATGAGCGGCAGGCGGGGGATTAAGGATGGACATGTAGAGTAGGGGGGGGGGTGGTAGCATGAATGTGGTGGAGGAAGATGTAGTGGTAAATTAGTTTTACGGGTTTTTTTTTCTGTAACTTTCATATTAATAAGCGGACATCACCCCCCCATCCCCACCTCTTACCCAAAAAATCTGCCTGGGAAAAGTTTTTCCCTGCCCGGGCAAGCGTATTCTT